TATCAGCCAGTTGAGATGTATTGTTGACGGAGTTGCGTCGCCTTTATTTAAATGTAGTATTGGAAATAATGCAAGGGAAAATACTCGTCTAAATTTTAATAACAAATAGTACACCATTTAATGTGATGATACAAGAAAATTATTTTACAATGCCTTAAATATGTATAGATTAGATAAAACTGATATAAACAGGCAAAATCTTGTTTCAAATCGTTCTAGCTGATTACGTAAAGCTATATTTAATTATGATAAACAAAAAAAAACAGATTTGTTAGTCAATGCTAGGTTGAAAAATGCTAAGTTATACTGGAACATGTTGAAGGAAAAATCTGGAGTTAGTAATTCAAATGTACCTATGAATGTTTTTGAACGCTATTTTAAATCTGTTAATAACCCTGAAGATAGAATTTTTGTTCCAGGTGAAGATATTATGCATTTTATGGAACATTATGAAAATAACGATTTTTGTTTGATGTTCGATGAATTGAACGTACCTTTTAATTAAGAGGAGCTAATTGAAGCAGTTAAACAATTAAACTCAAGTAAAAGTGGAGGTCCTGATTTATAATTGAACGAATTTTTTATACATGGTAAAGATACATTATTGCCTTTTATATTGTCTCTGTTCAATAGAATTTATGAGTTAGATTATTTTCCAGATAGTTTGTCTGAGGGTTTTGTAGTGCCATTACACAAGAAAGGTTCATTAAATGACGTTAATAACTATAGAGGGATTACGCTTTTAAGCACTTTAGGTAAATTATTTACTAGGGTATTCAATAATCGTCTGTGTACATGGGCTGAACATTATGGAGTTTACATTGAGGCCCAAGCGGGGTTTCGATCAGGAATGGGCACAACAGACAATGTTTTTGTACTTCATGATCTTATTAATCATGTCATAAATAGTGGAAAAAAAATATTTTGTGCTTTTATAGACTTCAGAAAAGCTTTTGATTATGTTAGTAGGGACTGCCTTTGGACAAAACTTATAAAATTAGGTATTAGGGGAAATATTTAAAATATAATGCGTTCGATGTTTCAATTAAAGTGTTAAATCTAGGGTAAAATACTTAAATCAATTAAGTGATAGTTTTGAATGTATCTTAGGTGTGAGACAAGGGGAATGTTTATCCCCATTTTTATTTTCTATGTTCTTAAATGATATTGAAGACATTTTTGTTCATAGTAACCTTGATGGCATTAGTGTAGATACCTTTAAAATGTTCCTTATTTTATATGCAGATGATATTGTTATATTTGCTGATAGTGAAAAAGATTTGCAATCTAGTTTAGACTTACTATATGATTACTGTAATAGATGGAAGTTGTTAGTAAATGCATCAAAGACTAAAATACTCATATTTAGAAAAGGTGGGCGTCTTCGAGCAAATTTGCAGTTTAAATATGGTGAAAATAACATTGAGATCGTTAACCGTTTTGTATATCTAGGTATCGTATTTACGACATCTGGTTGTTTTGCTGATGCACAAAATACTTTAGCTGGCCAAGGGTTAAAGGCAATATTTAAAATGAACAAATATTTATATAAATTTACTGATGTATCTGTAAAACATAGATTAGAATTATTTGATAAGTTAGTCCTACCTATTTTTAATTATTGTTCTGAGGTCTGGGGATTTCACCCCGGTGCTACCATTGAGAGAGTTCACACACAATTTTGTAAACGTTTATTGGGTGTAAAGAAATCAACTCAAAATGATTTTGTTTATGCAGACTTAGGTCGAATGTCATTACAAAACATAAGATTTTATAACATTATTAAATATTGGATAAAAATTTTGTATATGTCAGATCACAAATATGTTAAAAAAGTATATAATATGTTATATAATGATGTTCTTTATAATCCTAATAGGAGAAATTGGTGTACGTTAGTTAAAAACTTACTTTGTGAATTGGATTTCATAGACGCATGGATATTTCAAACAGTTGGTGATGTCGATCGTTTTTGTTAAATGTCAAAGAAAGAATAAAAGACCAGTTTGTTCAGAAATGGAATTATAGACCAAACAATTCCACTAGAGCAATCTTTTTTAGAAACATTAGCAATTTTTGCTTTCAACCGTACTTAAATATTTTAAATTTTAAAAAGTTTCGTATATCTTTGTTACCATTACGTATGTCATCACACAGATTATATGTTGAAACAGGTAGATGGCACCAGCCAAGGGCTATTCCTTATGATGATCGCAAATGTTCTGAATGTAATGTTTTAGAGGACGAGTTTCACTTTGTTTTACAATGTAATAGATATATTAACCTAAGAAAGCAGTTTATATCGCCATATTATTGGAGACACCCAAATATGATAAAATTTATTGCTCTTATGAACTCTGATAATGATACTATTATAAAACGTCTTGCATGTTATATTGAAAAAGCTTTTAATGTTAGGAACAACACTATTTTCATTCAACGTTATTAAGGTACTTAAGGTGCAGTAAACTTTGTCAACTGTGCAACTTAAGTAATTGTAAAATGAAATTAGTAAATATATCTTTTATTTTAGTGTATACACGATATTGCTAAGCAACTATTTGTTTTACCATATGTCAATCTTGTTGCCTTCGTTTTTCGGACAAGGCTGACAAATATGGTCTTCTCAGATAATATATTATCTTACTCATTCAGCGAATCATTGTTACCAGAAATACTAAAATCGTAATATGCTTTATTTTCGGTAAACTGCATATATCACTTAGTTATTTATGTATTTTGGACAGTTTATATTCATATCTGTCATCAGTTTTCATTTCTATATGTTTGTAATTATGTAAACTGTTATATATGCAAAACTCTATACCTTTTGCTAAATAAGTTTTGTTTACTGTTACATACACTGATACGGAAATATGTTCGTTAATATTATTTATGCAGGTCTTATATGCTAGTATGTAAATTGCCATATCTGTAATTTGTACTGTGCATTTTGCCACATGGGTCGTTGACCTTCTGGTTTGATATGAATAAAACTTTGAAAACTTTTTATGGCTTTGAAACTTTGCACACTTGTTCAACAGCATGACCCCAACCTGTAAACAGGAGGAGGTAACTCTATCAAGCATTTTGACAGAATTATGCCCCTTTTTCGACTTAGAATTTATGTTAAAGTTTTTGTAATAGTTCAAATATTTTCAAAGTCCATAGACATATGGCTTTGAAACTTTGCACACTTCTTCACCATCATGACCCCAACCTGTAGACAGGAGGAGGTAACTCTATCAAGCATTTTGACAGAATTATGCCCCTTTTTCGACTTAGAATTTACGTTAAAGTTTTTGTAATAGTTCAAATATTTTCAAAAGTCCATTGACATATGGCTTTGAAACTTTGCACACTTGTTCAACATCATGACCCCAACCTGTAAACAGGAGGAGGTAACTCTATCAAGCATTTTGACAGAATTATGCCCCTTTTTCGACTTAGAATTTATGTTAAAGTTTTTGTAATAGTTCAAATATTTTCAAAGTCCATAGACATACGGCTTTGAAACTTTGCACACTTGTTCACCATCATGACCCCAACCTGTAAACAGGAGGAGGTAACTCTATCAAGCATTTTGACAGAATTATGCCCCTTTTTCGACTTAGAATTTATGTTAAAGTTTTTGTAATAGTTCAAATATTTTCAAAGTCCATTGACATATGGCTTTGAAACTTTGCACACTTGTTAAACATCATGACCCCAACCTGTAAACAGGAGGAGGTAACTCTATCAAGCATTTTGACAGAATTATGCCCCTTTTTCGACTTAGAATTTATGTTAAAGTTTTTGTAATAGTTCAAATATTTTCAAAGTCCATTGACATATGGCTTTGAAACTTTGCACACTTGTTCAACAGCATGACCCCAACCTGTAAACAGGAGGAGGTAACTCTATCAAGCATTTTGACAGAATTATGCCCCTTTCTCGACTTAGAATTTATGTTAAAGTTTTTGTAATAGTTCAAATATTTTCAAAGTCCATAGACATATGGCTTTGAAACTTTGCACACTTGTTCACCATCATGACCCCAACATGTAGACAGGAGGAGGTAACTCTATCAAGCATTTTGACAGAATTATGCCCCTTTTTCGACTTAGAATTTACGTTAAAGTTTTTGTAATAGTTCAAATATTTTCAAAGTCCATTGACATATGGCTTTGAAACTTTGCACACTTGTTCAACATCATGACCCCAACCTGTAAACAGGAGGAGGTAACTCTATCAAGCGTTTTGACAGAATTATGCCCCTTTTTCGACTTAGAATTTATGTTAAAGTTTTTGTAATAGTTCAAATATTTTCAAAGTCCATTGACATATGGCTTTGAAACTTTGCACACTTGTTCACCATCATGACCCCAACCTGTAAACAGGAGGAGGTAACTGTATCAAGCATTTTTTTTTCTATCAAGCACTAAGAATAGTCGAGCGTTGCTGTCCTACTGACAGCTCTTGTTAATAATGACACTGGTATAAATTTATACAATCAAGGATTCACATTGAACAATTTTATTGACATTATGGTAGAATACTTTCGATTTTTTTAGGGAAATAAAAATGTTGTGCAAGAATCAGTACACATTTATCTTTATTGCTCAAAAGAAAAAGAAATATTAAGTGAACTGCTCTTCGTTCCAACTAGTCTGATTAAATTTTTGATGGGTGATCGATATATAGAAAAGTAAGATAGTTAAAAGAAATCTACAACTATTGTTTAAATCTACAACATTATGAATTCATATCCGCTGTACTGTTCGCTGACTACTCACAATACGAAGTGTTTTAAACCAGTTTTGGGTCAATGTTGTAAAACATCTTGTAGCGAATCTGAAATACTTCTTGTAGATGTACTCGTATAAACCATTATAATTATGCATGAAGACAAAAATTAATGCTTTAAATCTGCTTGTACCATTATACCTGTCTTTATTGATAGTATTTATTAGTTCTAATTGTTTTTAAAAATAAATATTAAACATAGTTATGACTACAAAGAGTGATACTTTAAAGACAATCAGTGACGAAATACTTTTTATTATAGAATAACTGTAAACAATATGAATATTTAATTTTTGCTTCAGGTTGATGTGTTTGTAAACGTTGTCGCAGTGAATGAATTTCCTCCCGTTTTTAATAACGTCCCATACAACGTGACAGTGAATGCGGTAAGAATTTAATCATCCGTCGAGCATTTTATTACTGGTTTTGAAACATTATGTTACTTAATTATTTCATTGATACATTGGAAAACTCTTTTCCTTGATGATAGCCACTTTACCCAAATAACACAGTGCCTCGTGAATTCAAAATAGGTATGAGTGGATTAATTTCTTTGACGAATCTTTCGTATCTTAATTTTACCAAATCGTGTTGTCCAAGTTATACAATTCATTTCAATGGTTTTAAATTACAATATCATTGATACTCAGTGTCTATCTATATTTTTTATGAGGTAAATTTTCAATTTGATAATATTGTTATTTTTTCATGTTTAGTCTCTGACTGTGGGTTCATTAGTATTTTCCCTGAGGTCAGAGGTTACTGATTCTGACGTCGTTGGTGCTGAAAACTTCATTTTCGCCATTCGGAAGTACAATTTAAGTGATGTAAGTAATCTGAATTGTTATGTAACAATTGCTTAGACATGGAAAACGTTACAAAATTGCAATCTTTTCTACCTTTACACAAGTCACTGTCTAGATAATAAGCTTTGTACAATAAAATACGCATTAATGTGTAACAGATTGAATTGATAGGTTAAAACACAATACATACGAATAAAGACGTTAATAAACTTTCTTTTACAGTTTGACGGTGCAGCCTATTTTAATATCCCAATGCCATCGAAAGGAGACATAACTCTGTCCAAGATGCTTGATTTTGATACCATGGAAAGAAGCAAACTTTTTCTCAATCTGAGTGTATCTGTAAGTTGCATATTTATACATCTCGAAAATGCAACCATATTTAATTTCTACGTCTGTGGGTATAACCTTTTATAAGTAGGATGTGTGTTTTTATGTGTTATGGTAGTTTTTATGGGAGATAAATAGCAAACGTTTTTTAATTTATGCCTTCATGTATGATATTGACAATAATGACGTCGTAAGTCATTATAATTTGAATATATAGACATTAAAAATACCTGTATTCAAAAAATGTTGTAACTTTTGGATAAATGTTACGTTATGTTGAATATATCACATTTTTGAAACACAATTTAAAAAAATATGATATACATGTATTCAATAAATTTAGCATTTTCCCTCTTGACGATTCTATAATTTATAAATACATTGTTACAGATGAACCAGTGATTTCATACTATACATAATATAATGTCTATATTTTATCATTGTTATGTAGAAAAATGTAATGAAAATTGTAAATTACGAGGTAAAGCTGTGGGGATAATATACAGTATAGCACGTACATAACTATACAAAACTAGTTAGCCATATTATAACAGTGCCATTTCCACATCTGCTCTGTATTTACAATACTTTAAATGTATTAGGAATGAATCTCACCTACAAATAATGACACAGAGGTTATAAAGTTGTTTGAGTATAATTTTAAACATTTCATAAGTGGCGTACCCACGTGGCTGAGTTGAACGTGATCTTTCATGTTAAACAATAAGCTTTCTATCTAGCTCGAGCAGTTGGGTGGCTATAGTCAATTTTGTTGACTTTCATCATACCATGTCATGCACTCTCCATGATAAATATGCTGTATATCATTCGAATTATGAATTTCTCAGTTCTGTGTCAACTCTGTATCTTTTGAACCGATAGAAGTAGAACTCTTTAGCAGAAATGTTGCTTAAAAAAGACTAGGTACACTTTGGAGGTTTTGGCTTCCTCAGATCAAAGTTCGCCCATCCAGGGGTCATTTGAAATAAACATCCGGTATCTAAAAAAATCAACTCTTAAACTAAAACGAACAGACCTGAGATAGGAAGATATAGCCTTTTACACAAATGAAAATAATATTGAGACTGTGGACAAAGTTGGCCTTGCCTTTAGGGCACTTACTTTATATAGACTAATGTTTATCTCATTGTGGAATACTAAAATACTCAGAGCTTATATAATTTGCACAAGCATTGCCTAGTAAACCGCTAAAAAGGTTTTGTAAATCATGCACATTAGATACATGCATGCGTGCGTAAACAAAATAAACGGGGCTTCCCACTTACTGGTCCGAAGCTAAAAAAAGCCCCACAAAACATAAGGACAATTTGGCCTCTTCGCACATTGTATCAAAACGTACAATAGATCTATCATGCCACGAAAACAACAATAATTAAAAATAATACCTCATAGCTGATATGAGACTATATATTTGAACAGGATGAGCCTCCATCGAGTCCTACAGCCAAGACAACTTATACCACTTTGGAAATACACGTAGCAGATGTCAATGATCAGCCTCCATACTTTGAGCCACCATATTTTTCTTTTATACGACTGGCACACATAGTATGTATATTATTAATAAAATTAAATCGAGGGCCGTGTAAGCACAGGTCAAAAGTTAAGATATAAATGCGTTTTAAGTATTTGTCAGACATTATTCTATTCATCCGTACTATAGTGAATGTTAGGCGTGATGTATGTGAACAGATATCCATCAAAGTGACACCACTAAAGCAAGGGGCAGGAGGTGAAGAGGTTGTACATTTGTTTCAAGCGAGAAAATTGGTTGCAAACTTGACAAAATGGCTGCAGAGTCATGAATATTTACACTCTCCCGTATTTTCTTCAGGTAAGTAAGTAAGTATGTTATTTTGAATATTTTAATATGCTCATTACTTTAGGCAATGTGTATGATACATTCGGTGTAATGTTTCAGCCTCCTAGCTTCTGATTTGATGAAATTAATGAAGATATAAACTGGTCATGTACATATTTTGCGATTTGACGGACGAAAATTCTGATCTGATTTTCTACTCCTTTATTCACATCTTTAAGCTTTGAAGTTTACCAAACAAAACACAATATATATTTATTTATAAATCGTGTGAAATGCTTTAATTTGCACGTTCGAATTAAAGTTTTAATACATAAAAATATTTTGTTAAAGCGCATTTAGTTGCCAACTTGTACTTCAAGCACTTTTGGTTGCAAACTTATGCTTCAATATTTTGCTTGTAAAGGCACGGAAAAGAACTATTATCTGATGAAATAAATATTCCTATTTTTTTACATTTTTTTAGAACTTAGTGCAATTATAATCAAATTGAAAAAAGTATAAAAATACTAAAGTATAAAGTATTTAAAATACTATATCATGTACTGATTTTGTATTTGTCACATGTTGTGGCTTTAAAATAGTAATAACAATTATTATGTATTTCTGTTGACACATACACAGGAGTTATTTCATTATATTTCTTTAACGAATTTATTGTCACTTGCATGTGCAGATTTAGCATTGATCAAAATTTTGCAATGAAAGTCCAGATTTATACCTCAATTTTTAAAATTAGCACAATTTTGTTCTTCATGTGAAACTTCCCTGATGCGGGGGACGTTGGTAACTCTTTTACAAATTCTTGATTGTTTATCAATGGGAGACCAAGAGTAAAAATTGGCACTATTTTCAAGTGTGGCATATTTGCCCAGAATAAAAATAAATAGGGAACATTACTGCTGACAAGCGAAAGAAACAAATTTACATTTTTTGGTGGTCCAAATATTAATACTTCGTACCAGCAGGTGTCACGTGTCGTGAGGCAGCTGTAAAAGTAGCCCGTTCTTCACTTTAATGTTGTTATATTTTTTTCTGGTCCTTCGGAATCACTGCTTCTATCATGTTAAGTGTTGAAAATAAAGTACCACTTAAGCCAGGGCTATGGGGCGTGAGAGATGTTGCACTTTACATTATCTCTTATGTACAGACGCAATCAAGTTTCATGTTATTTTGTTGTAATTAATGTTTCCGAGGGATAACCCTTGTCAAGATTTTGATACATTTTACTGGTTTCGCCGAGTAGGATCAGAAGCTCTTGTAACTCATAACGTCATTAATGAACTGAGGAACGTGCACTTTAAAGAAATATGATGTATGATAGTGTATGATAGTTGAGAAAAGACAATATAACAACAGAGGTCGACAATGCAAAGCGACATTAAAAAAAAAGCAGCCCCGACAGAATCCAGTCACACTGGACTGCAGCAAAGGCACTCAGTAGGACACCAAACATAAAGCATGAAAGGGCACATAAGCCGTGACATGGAGTGGGTCGTACCAATAAATGATAACAATTGACAACTAAATAAAGAAAGTCCTAAAAATGTCAAGGATAATAAAAACAAATTTTAAAGCAAATGAAAAAGCACAATTGTATAAAATTGTCAAGAAAATATCTGTGTCTAATAAATTTGATCTTCATTAAATTAAATTTTGACAGTTTTGTATTTGACTAAAATATAATATGAATAAAAATGCTTGAGGTACAGGTTTGCAAGTAAATTGCTTGTAAAAATGTTGTTAATATTCATGACTCGGTAGCCATTTTGTCAAGTTTGCAACCAATTTTCTTGCTTTCCGTCAGTATTCGGCGAATCGTATTTCACGATCGATGAGTTAGCGTCCAGCTGAGAAAGACAGTCATGGTTCACTTGCTGGTATTTTATCTGATACCATAGCAAAAACGCATCTTAGCACTTCACTCAAATGATAAGGCCTATATATATCCATATTTTTACACGCGGGGTATCTGATAACGAAGGAAGTACTGTTATAATTTAGCAATTTTTCATTATTATGTAGGGCCCTCTGTCAGTGACACAAGCCATAAAAGGGAAAATATCCGACACTGTTGGAACTCCTCTGGTTTATTCAATTAAATTTGGTAAGTAAGCAGTAACACTGTCACATAAAACCGTATTACTATATTCACAATAAAAGAAGAAAAAAATTCGACTATAGATCTTAATTGTGTCAAATGAAGATGTAGACACAAAACGTTTACATATTCGATGTCACATGTAACTTTAACATATCTCACAAAGGTACTCCATTTGAACCAATTTATAGATCCCCCTACTCTGGCCTTTTATTTGAATAACAATAGATAGAACAAACATTGACATGTGCTCTTTTGCTAACAAATATTTTTGATGAATTTTTTCTACATACATAGTGTATTTGCAACTAATGCAAACTGGCATGTACAAGTATTAGGTTTACAACTTGTCTCATAATCAATTCAATATTTCAGGAAACAGGCAGAATTTATTTAACATTAACCCTGTTACTGGCGCTGTGAATCAAATCAGATCAGTAAATGATGCAGGCCTACCTGATAAAGAGTTTAGACTCATCATTGAGGTAAGAAAACTTAAATGAGCTTATTTTATATAAAAAGACATAACTTGACTTATGTTGATTGTTACAATACAATATTGTTACAATACAGATAATATTTGTTACACCTAATTATTTATAATTTAATAAAATTTGATTTGCTGATTTCAGATAATAGAAGAAACTATTGCACAATGTTCTTTTCCCCAAAGGCAAAACGTATTTAATTATTAATGTAAATATAAATGTAATGATGAAAAATTTGATGATACGCCAAACACTAATTTCTTTTTTTCAAATTCACGCTCCGGAAATTTAATTTCTTACAGTTTCTTTTTGCAAAAAAATCATTCTAAATGATACACGAGCAAGTTTATTCTTTAGGTAAAGAAAGACCTACCAAGCAAAGATCTTTCTTCGATTGCCATATTGACAGTCAAAGTATATGAACGGATATCTGATACAGATGGATGTATAATACCGCCGGCGGAAAACTCTACAGAAGTTAAAGGGTTTAAGCTAACATTGTTTCTCATTGCCCTCGGCATACTTTCATGCAGTCGCAGCATCTTCATATAGCGATCGACATGTGCGTGCGTATGTATGTGCTCGCATGCGTTTCCGTTGTATTTATTATACACTATCTTATTTATGTCTCCACTTTATTTGTCAGATTTAATAGGTGTAGCCTTATTTGCATGCTAAGTGATCTGGAAATTCCAATACAATTAAGACGGTAACATTGACAGAGGTCAGCCAGTTTTAGTACATACAGCGGGTTATGGATATTTTTGTTTTTACTATGTGTTTGTATTTTTGTGTTGTGATCCTTTTTATTTCTCTGCCTTTTACTTTGATAAAATAAAACTAGTCTGTAACATTTAAGACCGGTAGTGAGCAATTGATATATAACGAGCTCTCTGTATATATTTTTTTCCGTTTATTCATTTATAGCATACAAGATAGCATAACTTGTCTGAGATAGTTCAACTATCTGCTCGTTTGGTTTTCTCCATTTTCTGAATATAATATAAACAAATATGTGACGAGTGGGTAAACCTAATAACTGTACTTTTTTAACTTCTTGTATGATGAATAAAGATTTAATAAAGATAAATGACCTATTTCATATTGTCACCTTTGTTTTGTATTTTCTTTTGTTTATGTTGTTTATTTTTATGATGGTGTATATTTTATGTTATTTCACAACCAGATTCTGTGTATATAATGTTAACTTAATGACCACGTTTTTGCTTGCCTTTTATGTACTTATATTGGGCATATATCCTAATGGGCAATGGTTATATGGACGAAAACTCTCTTTTTATTCAAAACCGATTTCAACGAATCATAAAATTGCTTTTTTTTTAAGAATGACATTTTTCCGGTTTGTTTTCACCATAACCACAAAAACTTGAAATACTAGTGAGTAAGCCACGAGCTTTATTTGATCTTTTTGACCGCATTTATTTGACGCACATTATGAATTACTTAAAACCTGAATTTGCCTTAATTTAAAGTTAGCTTTGTGCTTCTCTTATTTGAACTTTCATTAATCATGGCCTTAAAACATCAACCGGCAAAACCTTGAAGCAATATTACCAAATCAAAAAGTAGATAATACAGTTGTGTACATACAGATGTTTAATCTGATATTCTTTTTTATCTACTTCTGTTATTTTGCATAATTCGTAATTATACTTACTGAAAACGTACTATCAATTATAGGACCTATTTTTAGAAAGGAAAACTAACTTTCAATTATTCATCGAAATATCAGAAGCACGGGGATGGAACCCCATATGGATCTCAAAATTGAGCATCGGTAAAGAATATAATATCATGTGAATTTCCGCTGATCCAGAAGTGCGCTTTAACTCGGTATGTGAAGGAGAAAATAAGTGAATGACAGGGTTAGTTTCAAAGTTTGAAATATTTGTATAAAATACAAAGCTGTTTCAAGAAAATCGATATGTAATTCTACCCTCCTGACTTTCCACTATAAATACCATTTCTGTTTGGATTTTGATGCAGTCTCCAAATACAGAGTTTTCACAAAATCTAACCACCAAACAATGCTTAACATTCAAACAAACCCTTATTGAAACATTTAATGAGATTGGGCTCTGCATATAGGAAACCATCTACAAAAACTACAGATCACCTTCATAAAGTACCGGTAATTGAATAGCCAATCCAATCTCATTAAAATCAGCTCCTATATACCTCCACTTAGAATAATTTAGTAACTGATGTGTTATGCTTAAATGTGACCATATAAGACTCTTATAATAACAATTATCAGGTTTTGATTTTACATTACACAATGACATGTCGTGTAACTTTAGAGGGCAATCGGAACATCTCGACTATTACCTAAAATAACCTTGGACATATACTACGGATACCAGATGGTTTAAGATGTAAATAGACAGACTGAGTGTGTAATTAATGTATATTAATGATATCTAAGGAACAAGAAAGTCAATTTCGGTAAAATTGTGGATGAAAATATGTGTGACAATCGTACAAATAAAAAAATCCTACAGAAGTACAATTATAAACAAAACCGAATTAATGTCAACCGTTAGACATATTGTACTTTCGGTTTCTACAATCATTATAATACGTAAACTTTATAAATAATGAACTGTTAACTTTTATATCTATAAATTTACTTAATTTAGGTGGTCCTTTACTAGACATATTGAAATAATATAGTCACCAACTCCAAGCAAAACTGGTATTATTTTGGAATGATTCAAAAGTTAAAACCGTTATACCTGATTAAATCTGAATAAATCCAAAAAGATAATTAAGAAGTTTAAATAACAATATCTATAAAGCTAGCTATTCAGTTGAAGAATAATCGTTTCAAATGTTACTATTGTATCACTTTAAGTCACTATTGTAACAAAAATATAGAAAATAAAATACTTTTTAATCATGTATCTTCCATAATGTAAATCATTATTCCTTTTTACTCGAACAGATTTATTATGTTAATGAATATGTCTTAAATATTTTTTTTAAAACATTCTTTAAAATTATAGAATAATTATTTCAAATGTATCAACTGTATTTTATTTGGTCACTAATGGACCAAAAACAGATGTTAGAGGAGTGACTGTAACAGGAGTGACATATTTAGACTTTATCTTATTAAAAGTAATAAAAATAGATCCCTGGTACATATGAGTCTTAATTAGTGCCTTTAGTAATACATTTTGAGTTCCATGAGTACTGTAGGTTCACAGTATTTACTATTGAAATATTTTACCTGTTACATCTGTGATGGTAATGAAAATTATGCAATAACTTACCAACAGAAGAATGTGATTTCCAAAAAACTTCAAGAAAATAATCCACAATGGCACCTCATGTTCTTCTGCAGAATGAATACTCTTCAAATTGGAGGTTTTCTTTCCTCCACAATGAATAGGGATCAGTCATTACTTTTACTATTTATGACTATGTTACATGAGTGACATAATCTTTAGGGACAGATGTCAAACTTAAAAAAATGTTATTAGAATTGTGGAAAATATTGGTTATATAGCACTTATCACTTAGTTTAGCTGATAAGGTAAACTACGTACATGTAAATGTAGAATGGTCTATTTATTTGCAAGGTTTCCATATTGTTATTTTACTAATACTGTAAGGACATGTTGCTATTTTACCAGGGACAGCACTTATTGGCTAAAATAAGCACTTCTGGTACAATATTGAAGATATTTCACACTATTAAAAATCAAGAAACTGTTACACATTTGTAGTTAGTCCTAAAATTTTTTTGCAAAGACTCTTATATATGCAAAATTATTGCCCAAGGACAGAAAATGTTGCGACAATATAGAATGACTTATATAATTATCAGTCGATTATTATTATCCAAACCCTCTTACATCTCTACGTCGCCAGAAAACATGCAATATCTTGCCAATCTTTTTATTAACATACCAAACCATTTAATATAAATAAGTATAATTTACCTATTTCCTCTTCCACCCGTCAGAATGTTTGCGGAATTCATACAATTAAATAAAGTTGATAAACTACATACACATTTTGCAAGTATGTTTTAGGGGTCCATCCTTCTACATCCAATGCAGCCGTTTTTTGGACGAATTGGGCAGATTTTCTTTCGCATAACTATGTAAACAAAGAGCATTAGAAAATTTCATTAAATTTAAATATACTTAATAACCAAACTTCCTTGATGTACAGTGTTATGAATTTATGATAGCTCAATTAACTTTGAAAGAAACAGTATAAATACTACACGATCACGTGTTTGGTGAAAATCTATATAAAATATATAAGAAAGTCTAGGATATGGATTTTTGTATAATAATTAAAACATAAACCTGTTCTCAATAGTAATGTTTACTAAAAGAATTAAAGATTAATATGATCAAGAATGGAATGACCTAGTATGTAACCAAGTTGAACCTAAATTGAACTATTATAAATTATTCAAAACAGATTTCAAATTCTTAAGATACATTGTTGATATTGAGAATCCCGAAGAAAACAGTTGTAAAAATTCAGATTACGTTTTCATTATATAACAGAAAAGAACATATGTATTATTAATTTTAGAAATGAGCCAAGATGACTCCTATTCTATTGTATGATGATAATTAAAAAGAGAAGTTGGTAGATTTAATAATATACCTAGCTCTAAACGCAAATGAAAAATGTGTCATCAAAATGTATGTGAATCAGAATATATATTTCTTACTTTGATGTCCAAAGTACAACGAACTGCACATAAAATTATATTAGATAAACTTTGCCTAGTATAAATAAATTTGTTTCATTTATTTCCAACCAAAATACCAATACATCAAAAAAATTGTCAAAATTTTGTACGACCGTTTTAACTTTAAAGAGGAAAATGTAACAATCTTTCAGCTGCTTCATAGTAAAATCTGTGTATTTCATTTATATATTTATTGAATTAGAACATCTGATAAGTTCATATTTAATGTAAATTATAGATATAACATCACAATTACCATAAATATGAATTTTGTTCACTTCTGCCATGACTGTTATATGTGGTTTGGCACTGGGTTTCCACCAAGCGTATCATACCATGCAATATTGAACAGGCACTGTGTGAGGACATTTTTACTTTGTATAAATTGTTATACCCACAGCCACTCAGAATGCACCATTTTCCTCGAACTACCCACTTAGGGAGGAGAGGAACTTTCATCAACGACACTCGCCAAGTTACCATGAAGGTAACAGCTCGTGCCCGCTTCGCGCTATCTCTCGTCCTCGTGGTTTTGGGTCTCGTCAGTTTAACCTGACGTCCTGGCGACACTTACTATAGAAATGATCCCTAAGAGTAAGGTCTTAATAATTATAATGTAAAATATAGATTATATATAACATAACTGATACAAAAGTGCTTGTTTTAAAATATAAATGATATAAATCATAAATGGAACCCTGACATATAAATCTTACTAAAACTTTTTGTCAATTTGAATAACTTAATGCCATTTTTTTATTTTACTCTATTCATAAGTATAACATTTTTTTAGCTCACCTGAGCTAGCTCAGGGCGAGCTTTTAGGATCGTTGAATGTCGGTCCTCTGTCGTCCGTCTTCCGTCCACAATTGTTAGTTAACACTCTAGGGTCATATATTTGCCTCAATCATCATCAAATTTTGTCAGGATGCTTATCTTGGTAATAGCTCCGATGGATTCGAACATATTCATCTCGGAAGTAAAACAAGTTCACAGGAGCTAAATATAGAAAAACCTTGTTAACACTCTAGTGGTCACATATTTGACTCTATTATATTATAATCAAACTTGGTCAGGATGCTTGTCTATGTTATTGCTCGGATGAGTTCGAACATTGGTCATCTCGGATGACAAACTAGGTCACAGAAGCTAAAAATAGGAAAACCTTGTTAACACTCGAATATGGGTCAACTGAGGTGAAAAACTGATCACACCGCCCAAATATGGAAAAGCCTTGTAAACACTCTAGTGGTCACATTTTTTACTCAATTATCATCAAACTTGGTCAGGATACTTGTCTAGATAATTGCTCGGATGAGTTTGAACATGGGTCATCTCGAATGAAGAACTAGGTCACAGGAGATAAAATAGAAAAATCTTGTTAACACTCTAGTGGCTACTGTTATGATCCAAATATTCTGGAAATTGGTCTGAAAGTTTGTTTTGATGAATTCTAGGTTTATTCCGAATATGGGTCACCTGGGTTCAAAAACAAGGTCACATCGTCAAAATATGGAAAAACCTTGTTTACACTCTAGTGGTCACATTTTTGACCCACTTATCATCAAATTTGGTCAGGATGCTTGTCTAGATAAGTGCTCAGAGTAGTTTGAACATGGGTCATCTTGGATGAAAAACTAGGTCACAGAAGCTAAAAATAGAAAACTCTTTGTTAACACTTTAGTGGCTACTGTTTAGATCCAAGTATCCTAAAAATTGGTCTGAAAGTTTGTTTTGATGATTTTGAGGTCAAATTAGAATATAGAACTCTAGAGGTCACATTTTTGACTCCCGTGTCATGAAACTTGGTCAGAATGCTTGTCTAGGTAATTGTTCGGATGAGTTCGATGGTTCAGGTGAGCGATCTAGGGTCATCATGGCCCTCTTGTTTAAAGATTTGTGGTAATTCAAAAAATAACCATATATTTATATTTTTCTAAAATGCAAAGATAACTTTTAGTAACATAAATCTTGGCAAACTAGGTTATCTCCCGTTGATATAGGACATACATGTACTATGCATTGTTTGATTTTATAAAACTGATTACACGGTCAATGTGCACAATATATTAATCTTCGATAAACTTTCGTAAATTTGAAGATGTACACAGTAAGATGTGATTAAATTCAAAGTTTCTTCGAAATAGTTATACTGACCGTTATACGCATTAATGTAAATTACGGTTTGTAATTTCTGTATGGCCTACGTGTCCGCGTATGTCCAAGTTTTTTCTTATTTTATGACTATTTTTTTCAACATTATTGAAGCTATTGTTTTTTGTCTGTTGTTCTCTTGTTTTTAAATATGTTTTGCACTTATTTTGGGAAAGTCTTTATTCTTTTAAATAACATGGTTTAAGAAAATTATATTTAAAATTCATTCGGATAAAAATCAATTCATTTCAATGCTGTAAAATACAATGCAAAAAACGTGACAATCAGTGTTTCTAAGTTGTTTCATATCCGTGTAGACAATTTTGCAAGCACTTTGCCATTTCCTTTAAAATATACTTCAAAACTAAATAATAGGTCTGAAACAATGGCAAAGGTAGGAATCGAGCCATAAACCTCTCATGTATAAGGGAATCACTTAAGTGACTGTGCTATTGCGAATAAGACGAGAATCTATACATTAAGCTACTGTGACTTTTCTTAAACACGAGTTATATAGTATTACTCCACATTAACTCTCGTGAACTATTCGGACAGAACCGAAGTAGGATCGAATATTTAAATGAGTGCTATAATGTATTCATAATTGACAGGTCAATAAAATCAGACTATACTAGTCATATAAGCTAAATGGTATAGCACATGATAGAAATGATCAATTAAATACCCCTTTCACTCACTATTTTATAAAAAAAATACTTGATACTTACAATGTATATGAAAAAGTATGTTTTAAGACTTAACATTTGAAAAGGAAGTAAAATTGAGATAACGTTTTGCATAGATTTATCTTTTATATATCGACATGTCAATAATTGAAGTAATGTGATAAAAATCACGAAGCTTATCAGTAAAAGTATACAATCATAAAGCTTATCAGTAGAAGTATACATATCAACAAGAATTGTATTAATCAATTGGCACACATTTGTTGAGAACAGTGCTGGTTTGATTGAAATTTATATTATAGCAAAAATGTTGTAGAAACAGGACATTTCTTCACATATTATCACAAATATGTAAGTTTCGTTTTTATAGATAACTTTAATGCCTTCCTTCTTTTTTACCCAATTTTTTGTGGGCAATTAAAAACAATTTAATTTATTTCTTTGCTAAACAGAAATTAAAATAAGGATATTTTTTATTTTTCTGGCAGTTTTTGTTTTTTTACCTTTACCCCTGTTAAAATTTTTTTTTTATCGATAAATTTTTGTTCAAATATATTAATAACTATTTACTTTTTATCGACAGAAGAAAGACTGGATTGGAAATCAAGAATAATTCATCTCCAGTTAAAATACTGAGCGGTGAGATAGCTTTATTATATTCCAGAAAAATTAAAATTGTGATTAGATGTTGCTTCAACATCCACGATTTAGAAAGAGAAAAAAAAAGAACTTTGTAAATATATATAGGATATTTGTTTGTTTGTGTGTAAGATGAAATTTTATTTCATCGAGTGGGCTTTAAAAACAGTATTCTCACGAGTGGCGTAGCCACGAGTGAGAATACTGTTTTTAAAGTTCACGAGTTCTTTTTATTTTATGCTTAAAAACAAGTTAAAACGAAATTTTACACAATATTAACGTTAATATCAAAATCTGTTTAGCCGGAATTTCTCATCAAATACAAGAAGTCTTGAGCTTAAAAATAAGTTCGACAATCAACGTTAAATGATGGTGATATTATTCATTTTATTAAAAAAAATGTAAATGATCGCTTGTTTTAATAATAAAAACAAACAATTATTGTAGGAGAAAAAAAAAGTCCAACCAATCCATCCATATTTCTGTTACTTACTGCGAATTTTATATTAGACCTGGGCCTTTGTAAATGTAAGCGGGCAGCCAATTTTTTGAAGTTGTGTATTTCACGGGAGGAATATTAATTGTGTTGCGAATTCAGAGGGTGTATTCATTTTGATTTGTTAGTCATATACCCCCTACCTTTTTAAAAGAAAAGAAAACTTATAGATTGTAAAGCAGACAAAAAATAAGTGGTTGACAGATGTGAAACGTTCGTAAGAGCAGCTTAGGAAAATGGGAAAACTTTGGAAGCTGGCTCAGGAACGCTGGGTTTGTTTACTTATTCTTAACGGGCTTTCATGGGCTATCATTGGCTGTTTTCAATTTTTTCATAAAACTTCAATACCGGGTGCAGTTATATGCTGCGTAGGGATACTTTAATTTGCCCAAATGTCATCAAGAGCAGTTTTGCATGTGGAAGGAATGTAATTTTCAGAACTTTAAAAAATGAAACAAAAAATTCAGACGAAATTTGGTGACTGATTGGAATTTTGAACATGAACTCATAAGTAAGTTTTCTTCTTTTTATTTACTTTTAATATTTAATTATTTATCAATTTCAGCTTTGCTTTTTCTTTAAACAGCTTGACATTGTCAGAAATTGTCAGCAAAAATAAAATTGAGGTACCATATGGGGAAAATCTTTAAAAAGTAGTTTCGTCATTGAAAAGTGTGAAATTATATTTTGATAATTTTCACTGTGAAATTATCAAATATAATTTTCACGGATAAATCAGTAATCCACTGAAAAGCATAAAATAAAAGGGATTAATAAGTATGTTCTATATACACTACATTATAACAAAAGTAAAGAACTTTTAAAAATGAAACAGTATTTTGTTTTAGATAAAAGAAAAGAAAACTTACATGTCAACAAGTGAGCACTGTAGTCTACAACCTGGACGGAAATCTTTTTCGAGTACATCAACAAGTATCCCTAAGGTAACCTGGACGGAAATCTTTTTCGAGTACATCAACAAGTATCCCTAAGGTAATTACATGATACCTCCTGCTCGTTCCTGTCTCATTCTATGAGATTCTATTTTAATCAAATCCGAGTATTTCTTTAATCTAGTGTAATTATTATTAGATGCGCGATCACTGATAATATACTGACTATTGTTTTAAAAGGATTACAAAATATAACAAGTCATACACGTTGATAAGATGGTGGGTTATATCTAATTCCGAATAATTAATCAATTCAATTCAATGTTAATTTGGCTTTAACATATATACAAAGTTTATTGCAATTACATATAGTAATATGGCGCCACAAGACAAACAATACATATTTCGAACATGAGAAAAGCATGATAATAGCAATTACATATTTTGAACATCATAAAACGGTGATAATAACACAACACTTATGAATACAATTTCTTTTGATGGTGTACAGATAGAAAGACGTGAAAAACAGATACACGAATACGTAATGTCTCTGGTGTGCAAAATTAAAAGACGAGGAAAAATGATCAAGCAATAAATATTTCATTTCAGTTTCAGAGGAGTAAGATGACATTATGCTTTATCAGAATGGAACAAAGGAAACTATCAATATGCCTTTTAGTGTGCATGATGACACATCAAGGTATGTTTTGACTAATGAAAACACGACCCAACA